GAGATGAAAGAAAAAAAGGAAAAAGGGACAGAGAGACAAAAGGAAGAAGAGAGAGAGAGAAAACACAGTCTAAAATCTATTGAGAAAAAAAGAAATAAAGAAATTAATAGCATTCTACATTGACGTTAGCTTCTTCTTGCTGAACTAACTTTAAACAATTTAAATCATTTCTGATCTTAAGGAAATCAAATCTTGTTAACAATGGTAAACCGACATTTAATTCGTTCCCCGCCTCCTCTGTTTTGAAAAATTACGATTTGAAACTCTGCTGCCCACATTTTTTCCCCCTCGTTTCAAGGTTTTTATTTTTTAATACAAATTTTAACACCTTATATAATTGTCTGGGTCTTTTCTTTTACATCCTCTCATTGACACAATCCATTTTATACATCATGGTTCTGGTTTCCAGATCCTGCCAAATTATTCTCTTTTAATGTTTTCACCTTTGTACTTATTTTTCCCTTAATACATAAACAATACGTGAACCCATTGCTCCTTTGAAATTATACCAAATTATCATTTCACATTTCCTCCATTAATCTGTTCTACCATAAATGTTCTCTAATTCAATTTAAACATAAGATAGCATTTCCTTCCATTTTTTAATCCACAATTAACAATGTTATTACAATTTATTTATTTCTTAATTAGTTACATGGCATTAACGAGCTTAATACTATTCTCTTTGATCTACTAATGATAATTCTCTTTTTCTTTCTTCCCCTTTTAACCATTTTCTCTTGGGCTCTCAAAGATTCCACTTCTAACTACTTTTCTCCTTTTCTCTCCTAACTTCTTCTTTTTCTTCTTTTTGATAGTTGTATCTTTTCTTCAGAGTCTTTTTTTCTCATATTTAATTTTATTATTCCTGTAATAATCAATTATTATTATGCCCGCAAATTAATTGTTTATTTATCAAATTGATTCCCCGCCTGCGCTGTGGTTCTGGTGAGACAAGAGTGGCTTTAAATTAAGCCACTCGGGAGCCTCCTGTTCAATCTAGAATAAATATTGGAAATAAATATTTAATCCCTCCAAAGAACACCCACATCCTGGTTTCGCTGCCCACTTTTCAGACTGTTCTACCTGTCATATTTCTCTGTCCTTAAACTTTTGCTCCTTTCGTTCCAGGTTTCCGCGTAGAGAAGGCGAGAAAATACAATTGCTTTATTACATACATACAGCCCCGTGTTGGAAGAGCATCTGATCACTGATTTAACACAATATTGGGAAGCAGCAGTGATTCGTATTGTTAAAGGGAATCGCTTGAAAGGGTTCTACGCCCAACGTAACATTCCAGGATTGCCATGGTGCAGAAGGAACCTCACTAGAATGACAAGCCAACATTTCTACGACCAGACAAGCCAACTTTTGAAATCCCTCCTTGCTAACTGTTTAAAAGCAAGCGTAGTATACATGTGGGGTATAATGTGGTGTTTTTCCCCTTGCCAACAAATGCACATTAAATTCATTTAATGTCTTCCCTAGTGAATCAAAAAGGTGGCTCAGTGGTTAAGACGCTGAGCTTATCGATCAGAATCCTAGGTTCGAATCCCCAGCGCCGCGTAACGGGGTGAGCTCCCGTGACTTGTCCCAGCTTCTGCCAACCTAGCAGTTCGAAAAGCATGTAAAAAAAATGCAAGTAGAAAAATAGGGACCACCTTTGGTGGGAAGGGAACAGCGTTCTGTGCGCCTTTGGCATTGAGTTATGCCGGCCACATGACCACGGAGACATCTTCGGACAGCGCTGGCTCTTTGGCTTTGAAATGAAGATGAGCACCGCCCCCTAGAGTCGGGAATGACTAACACATATGTGCGAGGGGAACCTTTACCTTAGCTGTTTAAAATGACAAGTGTGGGGTATAATGCACTTGCATTTAACGTCTTAGTGAATCAAATGTTGTAGAACATTTTTCCTCCATCTGATGTTCTGGATATGTGGAGCCAACAACCAGATGCGTCCGAAACCATAGCTTGAAAATGCAGGGTTTTTTTTTCTAGAAGGCTGGGATAGAGCATAAAACCAGAACTATGGCTAAAAAACCCATCCTGTTTACCTGAAGCTGTGACCAACTATTAGCCTAACATGTCAGCACTTTCAATCTCCACGACCTCAGACAGAGACAAACTTCTCACAAAGTTGTTAGCCAATGCTGGGATTATCAGCTTGCAAGCCTCTTTAGCTGTCCCAAACCTGCTAACTCCAACCTCACCTTGGCTAGAAGTCCCTGGGGTACCTACATCAACGCCTCAGTTTTTACGACCTGTAAAATGGGAATATCAATGCCCATACAGTCTTAGTTCCTTGGCCCTGGGCTTTGTGAGACTCACTTTCCAACCTGCTGCTTCGTTCCTCCAGCGTCAGTATTTTCTGACGATCCTCCTCCCAAGCCAAAAATTGCCTGTGGTGTACAGCCACCATGTTGTTCAGTTCCTTGTCGCGATCTTTCAGCTCCGCGAGTACCAGCTGGAGTTCCTTCTTCAGTTTCTGAACGATGTCGCTCTCTGATCTGGAGGCCAGGTTCTAACGACGAGAGAAAAAGAGATTTAGGGAAAGGTGTAGTACTTAAGAGTAGGATACACTATAAGGGATGCAGCGACTCAGGGGCTAAGATGCTGAGCTTGTCGATCAGAAAGGTCAGCAGTTCGGCGGTTCGAATCCCTAGCCCCGCATAACGGAGGGAGATCCCGTGTCTTGTCCCAGCTTCTGCCAAACTAGCCGTTCGAAAGCACGTAAATAATGCAAGTAGAAAAATAGGGACCACCTTTGGTGGGAAGGGAACA